GAGACAGGTGTGTAGTAGCTTTCCATAGAGACATTGGACTTCAATGAGCACATGAGTTGAGTGTGCCAGCCAAGTTGCAATAACTACAAGATACTTCGACCTTTTTGCTTCTACCAGTGCAATAGTGAGTGAAACGAGCGTTGTTGACAGAACGAGGAAAGACATGTGAGAAATCTGATATTGGAAACTGGCAATCTTCTCCAAACACTTCCAAAGTACCATCTTCAAAGAAGAAACCTTCAAACAAAAGTCTACCACCGGTCTGATGAAAGGTACTAGGGGATAAAGTAGTATGTAAAGCTTGACAATACAAATTGTAGCTAGCGAGATATTAACATTCAATATGAAAGAAGAGGTAGTCATCCACCCATTTTGTGAGCAGACCCAATCCAGCTACATGTAGAAGGTCAGCTCCAGCATCAGCCACATATTCATATGCTCCAGCTGAGGGACCCATACCAAACGATGTGCATATGTCCACACAAAAGGTGTCCTCATCGATGTGAATGACTGTAGCAGGCCATTGGGAAGGCAGCAAAGGAATGGTCCGATATGCTTCAGCCACATCTCGTGTTGCTGCCTGAGAACCTAGGGGGAGATGTCAAATGATGGCACAAATAGTGTCAAAGGTACCACACGTGCACAGGAAATCATCAGAGTCCATGCAAGAATTGATAGAAGGACAAGGATGTGCAGGAGAACATAGATAAGGAAATGAGAAATTCTGAATGACGCGAAATTTGCTGGGTTTCCCAGTTTTTGGTATGATAGAGATGAGAGACATCTGAAATGCTCCCAGGAGACCATGTAGCTGCAAAGAGTTGAAAGGTCCAACCTAACAACCTGTCTCAAGTTCTCGTTCAATGATGGAATCAAAGGCATCCCGATGTTGTGAGAGAGATGGGTGATTTGGGGGAGTCTGGGAGATAGTGAGATGTGGCAGGTGCAAATTGAAACTGAAGCAAAAACCAGCAGGAATCTTGTCATAATGAGTAATAAGTTCATGTGTTCGGAGCAAGTGCTCCCAAATATCCAGATTATATGGGCACACTGGCTGCAGCTGTCTGAGCGTGAGTGGAATACTAGGCTCCATGGGAGGGTAACAAACAGCCAGAACAGAGATGCCTTTTATCATGAGAGTATGTTGAACAACCTCTTTCCCATTGCCAATCGACACAGAGAGGTTTCTCTGAGCTGCGTATGAGCAATTGCTGGTGAAGCCGCTTGCTGACAATAAGTAAGGAATTGTCCCAGATATGCTTGGCAGAACACTCAGCGAAAGAGTGATTGTTTCTCCCGAGACAAATGGCGCACACAGCTTGAGGATGTTGTCCATGTGTGCCGCTGGAAAAAAACCTGAGGGAATGCAGGTGGATTTCTCCATGTGAGGGAGCTTGTTGCGTGCTGAAGGAGAGATTGCTCATTGTTGATCCACAGGCATGCTACACCACTCATAAGGAGTGACAGCAAAGCCATGACCACTCCCCCTGGATTGACTCGAATGAGAGTCATCACTGGAGGTGACAGAGGGAAAACCATGCATCCGCTGTAGACCATAGTCAGGCCCACAACCACGGATATTGCAAAGGCAGGACACATAATGCAAGACACACATGCAATTGCAAAGAAATTGCTGCACAACGCCAAAGACACCATGCACAATGCAAATTGCCCCAGGGAGGTGTGCAAATAAATCATATGAACCGAATAATCGTTAGTTAAACCGACAACAAAGAAAAGAAACCACAAACCTTCAGATCAAACTCTTGGTTCACTTGGACATGCTCAGCATGATATAGCTGATCGTAGATTCTTGACAGCTCAGTAGTGTCAATGATGGAGATGTTCCAGGCCCCAGAGGGCTAAGGAATGGCTTGGTGCCAAGCTCAACACTATTCCTCCTGATAAGTGAGTAGAGCACATGTCTCTAGTGCATCTTCAGAAGTCCAGTACTTATGTAACATGAGAGTGCCAAAGAAGTTGGCTAACATAATAATACAGGAGTCAGGCCAACCACGTTGTTCAAGGGAGGTGATAAAGTAAGGAACAGTCCTAGAGAAGTTGAGTGGAGTGAGTAGGTGATCAGGAATCACGCCAGCTGTGGAACAAACAGCACTAGCAGAAATCCAAGTAGCAGAATGCCTTGTGCTTACCTAAAACCAGAACTACCTATTGGAGGTATTAGGCATACTGTAATTACTAAAACAGTGAAGTATTTAGTAGAAACTGTGAGGGGTTCAGAGTATAAGTGTCAGGGTACTAGGTGAAGGGAAACATGATTAGGTAAGTGGTAAAAATGTAAACCTAAGGTGAGGAAAGTGACTGTAAATAAAGATAACTCAAAATAGGCTAATATAAGCTCAGCTGGAGGCCAAGTGCTACATTGTACTGAATGCCTACTTGCCTAGTATAAGAAAATGAAGATGCATACATCAAGCTTTTCTCTGATTTTGCAAAGGATGCTAAGGAGCAAGGTCAAAAGAAGAAGCAGAGTGGTAGTTTAAGAGATGTTATCTATTTTCAGTTCACACATGCTACATCAACAAACTATTAATTTCATGACAAATGTCATAAACCACACAAGGTTTCACAAAGCACCACAGGTCTCACAAACTTCATAAATATATAATAAAATATTACATTATCAATGCTACTAATATCTATAGATAATACAAACCAATATAAATATAACAATTTTAACAAATATCCCTATCTATTGCTAATTATGATCTGACTGAGCTTGTATAGCTTGTATAATGTTGGTTTATATTAAAGCCCTGATTTTGCTGTATAATTGGTGATATAAGGCAAACAAAGAAAGCCTTTGAAAAGTAGCTGAGATATATATTAATCTCTGTTGCACAAAATCTATTGAAATAGGACATGTATATATTAAATAGGGCAGTTTATTATTTAATTACAATTATATCAAGCCACTGTATTAGAATTTATATAGCAGTAAATAGAATAATAGTATTGTGGTGGAATAATTGAGTAGACTGACTTAGGGTAGTCTAACTATAGGTATATGATTATTAGGTCCTGACAGACTTTGAAAGCTAACCCAGTGAGATGTCTTGAGCTAGTGATTTTTTACATTGCTAGCATACTGTTAGCATTAATGAAGAGTATAACTCTAATTATTCGTTTCTTGCTAGCCAATAAATCTGGGATTTACTGCTATGCATAGACAATTCCTTAGCTCTCCAGAAGGTAGTATTATCCAACCCTTACTGCCTTTTTTTGGTAGCCCACATATAGTCACTTTTAGAATGTGGTACTCTGGAGAGTTGGTCAAACTACTACTTTAGGTGATGATTCTGAACGATCTCTGTATAATCTTTATCAAGCCTATCTATAAAAGCTTTTTATTGCTGATAATATGATACTGATAGAAATTACTAAAGAGTCTTAGCTATGAAGGTTTCTTTTGCTAGAAAATAATATCTGAATACTAGACTATCCCAATCAGCATCACTAATAATCTAATATTGATCTTGACTAAAAATAAAGCTAAGATCCTGGAAATGAAAAATATTAACTTTGGCTTGCATTTACTGTACCGGATTTAGCATACCTAGGAGAGATTCAAAGTTAGTTTGGAAGATATGCCAGCTAAAAGATGTTAGTTGCAAACTGATGCTGAATAGCAGACAGCTTACTAAATATGAGGAAATCTGTGATCTTTCTGGAAAAAAGAGCTTTTTTTTAGTTTCTCAACATCTTCTTCAACCTAAGCATCCTCCTCACTACTACTAGCCTCATTACCATCATGGAATTGGTATGTGGTCTTGTGCTTCCTTAATAAGTAGCTAACCTTTAAATATTTGAAATAGCTTAATATATGAAAGTCTAAAAACTCTATATCGAGGTCCTCTATGAAATCTCTTCAATATAGAGCTAACAAAGCATCTGTATTAATCGGTCTGATATTGGGAAGCCAATAAGTGTTAGCATCTTTAATCACATTTGACAGAAAATAGATGCTTCTTCCATACATAATTGAATAAGTACTTGATCTATAAGTATTATCTGCAGGTACATCCTAGCAGGAAGCTTCTAGTAAGTTGTTCTTTACATGACTCACTGCTGGTCAGTAAATAAGGGTGTTGATCTAGTAAGCAACCAAAGTGTCTAATTGCAATGAGTTATAGTGAGGATAGGCATTTTGATTAGCACTCTATAGATTTTTGACTACATGGTAAAGTTCAGCCATACAGTAATACTTGAAGTACCCTTCAAATAGATTTTATATTGGTACCTTAGGTATGACTGACTATAGTGACTAAAATGCTCACTAAAATAATTTGCAATCAAAGCTAACAAGTGTATCTTGTATTATGCTACCTGTCATTTGCAAGAGCACTTCTGCCAAACTAAATAGTATATGAATCTTCAGCCATACATTGCCTTCTATATAAGAACTTCCACAAAGGCAAAAATTTCTGTGATATGCTCTAAATCTTTTATGAGCTTGTCTATGCTGGCTGGGAATAAGTGCCATGCCTGGCAACATTTGAAAATATCATTGTAAAGCTAATAGACAGCATATTTATCTGTTGTATAGGGATTTATATAGTGAACTTTATCATCCTTTCTATGGAAACCTGGATCTGCAAGGAATCCTCCAAGATCTTCTAATTGTGCTAAAAGATTACAATGATACTAAGTCTGAGAAGCCAGAAGAGAATCTATCTGATGTTCTGCATTAGATGATAAAAGAAATTGCAGTAAATAATGATGGCCTTTGGTAAGCCACTGTAAAACATAGTTTTTATGCTAGATTTCCAGTCCAATATCAACCACTCAATTCTCAGGCCTGATAAGCAACATATTAAAAAGATAAAATATGGTATTGAGAGCAAAGTATCTAGCTTTTAGATTGTATAGATTATGATGAGATATATCTTTTGTTCCTCATAGCTGATGAAAAAAAAAACATTCTGAAGCCCATCTTTGGAGATTGAGATCTACATTATTGTACAAATGAAAGAATTTCTTTAAATGGAATACTTTTCTTCTGTAGCACTGGAGATATCATAGGCTAGTAATTATTATCTATCTATTTTAATCATCCAATAATAACTGACATATGATCTGGAATGAATTGTGTAGGCAGTTGCAAGATCAAGTCCCACTGCCCAAAGGCTATGTTGGACAAGAATGGAGAATTTGCTAGTAGTAATGTTAGCTGTTTTCATATGCTAGTGAATTGCAGTAATACAATCAACATACCTAGCATCTGAAAGGAAGTAGAACCCACAATACCAACATCCACAGAGTTGGGATCACAGTCAGCCATGTGCCGACCATGTGACATCAATAAGACCACTTCTCCTCCAGTGATTACCTGCTCCATGCTTGCACCTGACTCTCCACGCTCAACTTGCTGGCCCCTGGTGTTAAGCCCAAGGCCATTGAGTGAGTCCAAAGGCCTACTCCCATAGAACTTTGTAGGTGTGGGTTCAGATGAGAACACGAGCATGACAACATGAGTCAACTCGTGTATGATCACCAGATGAAGAAAAAAGGCTAGAGTCCTGAGCATTTAGGTCAGCTAGCTAGTAGTAGTATAATCATGATACTCACTGTTTAGCCCGAGGAGTACTTGCCCCAGTATACAAGTCATAAACATCGCTGTGAAGGGAAAACTGCAGTCGCCATGTCTGCCTTTCAGCTAAAGAGAGACTCAGGAAAGGACCCTGGTTATATCCAGAGAAGGTTTCAGACATAGGAGTTTCACCATAAGAGTCTTCTAGCATCACTACTTGTATAGCGGGAAAGTGTGAGTGAAGGTAACTCTTGATCTCTTCGATGCGTTCATTGATGTCCTCCATGCTTGGATTAGTAACTAAGTCATCTTGGCCAAATGATTCATTGCTGGGTGGTAGGCTAGGAAGTATTGGTAGGCGTCTGAGACTAAGACACCAAATGCACTGGTGTGTGGTAGAATCTCGCCATGCAGGAATAGTATGTCCGGTTGGTGGTGAGCCATAGGTTAGTGGGGAGCGATAGGTTCATCAGGAGTTGCACTGTTCAGCTGACTAGGAGGTCTCCATAGGGCTCCATTCATCAGAGCTATAAGCTGGAGTGCTAGCTTTGGCAGAAATACAAAAATAGTCAAACACGTCTGTAGTGAGGGTTACTCATATACCTTTCTAGAACTTAGAATCTTTGTTACTAATATATCTAATTTCATTGTTATACCATGATTCCCACTGTAGTTCATTCCTTCTAATGATGATAGTTAGATTAAGGAGGCAGAGAATAGTAACAATCTTAAAGAGATAATCATAGTAAAATAGGCCATGTAGAGGCATCACAGTCTTCTGCTAATAATAATGATTTTATTGATGAAGAAATGTCTTTGGCTTTCACAATAGCAGAACTAAAAGCCAGAGGTGTCCTGGTGGATTTTGCAATCATCAGCATGAAGGCAGAGAAGGAGTCACAGTATAAGGAGCATTATGAGGTTGGAGGTTTACTAAAGTTAATGTAGACCTTCTGATAGAAATACAAAGATTGGTAAGCAGGAGTTTAAAGGAGGAGGCATTGAAGTGTGCTATAGTGAAATAATAATAGTTGAATATTTAATAAAAATAAAAATACCAAATGTCAAACTAATATAAGTTGTGAGTCTATGCTATACCTATACTACTTCATTTGCAAGACAGGAGTATTTAATCCTATAGGGGTTGCTATTTAATGAAGTATAATAGTTAGTTATTTGTAAAGGAAGATAGTCCAAAGACAAAAATATTAGGTTTGAAACTTTTGGATCAGGTTAGACATTGGATGTTAGGGAAAGTGTCAGGTCAGGGAAAAAATATGTTAGAATAGTGTTAGATTGGTAGAGAATATTGTGTTACTATTGAGTTTATAGGTTGTTTCAGATAATGGCAGAATAATATTTTGGAATTTAGTAAAGAACTACTAGTATCAGGTGATCCTCATCCTACAGAAAGGTAGATTGGTAAAAATTGATAGAATGAATGTGAAATATATACTGTCTATGTAGAAATTCAGAGTACATTAGGCAAAAACAAAATCAGGTCTGAAAATATATGTAAAAATACATGAGTAACTACACACTAGTAGGGATAGATATGACTGGACAAGATATAGGGAGAATGAGTGTGCACAATATTTGATAGGCTGATGCAAAACCTGATGTTCAATAAAAAATCCAATATGATGTCTGATAATCTGATGTTGGGGTCAACAAATGTCTGATTGGACAATTAATAATAGAGTCAGATAGAATGACTTTGACATACATCATAAAATAGCTAAATATAGGCCCAATATGAGCCCAAGTGCTACAGTACCCTTAGTGAATAGTTTAAAGAGGCTATCTATAATCTGTTTAATTAAGTAGTATGTCTATCATATAGTCTTAGCTATTGTAGCTGCAGGTAATTCATTTATTTATATCTCATGTTAGAAATAACATATATCATCTTATAGGCCCATATTGGTGTAACACCATAATTACCTATGCTACTGTTAAGAATACTATGGAGTGCCATTCTATAAAGGATTCATTTTATTTTTTTAAAAACCAACTATGATCTCTCATTGAGGTGGTCTAGTATGATTCATCTTAGTGCTACACTATTGAGCAAGTGCCTGTACATCATTTATAAAGATTTCACCAATACAGAAGAATCATGATATGCTTTTGAAAGCTATCCCATCTGATCCTATTTATGACATTAGCATCTATTTCAACTTTATGATTAAACATAATATGTGAAAGGTAGCCAATGTATTTTTTTTGAAAATCCTAAAATTAAGTTGAAGATGCTTTCCTAGAAGATATTGTAGTAAAATACAATAATAGAGAAGGTTATAGACTAAGTGCAGTCTATACTTCATCTATGCTACTATGTCTAAAACAGATATGTTTAACCCTAAAGAGAGTTGCTAGTAGACAATACAATACAACTAGTTCAAATGTTAGCTTAATCAGAGTATGAGACCTAAAAAGTGCTGTAGAGACAAATGACAGGTCATTTACTGCATACTACATATTGGTGAGAAATATTTTTTGAAGTTATTTTTTTTGGTTGTATTATGGTCATATTCTTCAACCTAGCTACTGCATTTGCAGTTATCTAAAGCTATATATGCAGTATCATGGACGCTGCATTTACAGTACCATAGCTACTGCATCTGCAGTCACTAGCTACTGCATTTGTAGTACTCAGAAGTTGCATCTGCATGTTCTAATCCTACTTTTGGTTTGCCTATTTACTAAATCTCTATACAAAAGCACCTAATTTGATTATAAGCTTTAACTCAGTCTACTTTGGCACCTAAGTAGTCCTTCAAGATGTAAAATGTTTCTTATCTAGTGCTTCCTTCATTAATTCTCTCACTATATACTATATCAGTGGCAGATGAAGACACAAGCCAAATAACCTATCACAAGTACAATATTGACATTTCCTCAGACCTTGATCTAGCTGAGGTCTCTGTTACTCTCAATCTGCCACAACTACTCCAACCTATATTATTCCAATACCTAGCTCAGTCTTTAATATTTTAATTCTCTCTCTGGAGCATTCCATCAGTAGTCTTCTTGGATCACTAAGAAATTTTGTCCTTCAGAGTATGTGAGGAATCTGTCATATTCCACATTCCGGACCCAGTGTAGAGACTCATGCCTCTCAATGCCTGATATACGGCCCTATGAACCACATATTCCCTACATGTTCCAGCTCTTATCCGAAGGATCAGTCATACGCGCTCCCGTGCGTGTGCCCTACGTACGTGCCTCGTTCGCGCGCCTTATACCCACTCGCGCCTTCTGCGCGCCTCCCCTTAGGTCCTCATGCGCCTACCCGTCCGTCCGTCCGTCCTATGTCCTCACTGATTTACTGGTGCGTTATTCTTATCTCTTTCACTAAATTGACGTACACTCGGTCTGATCCCCGCACTTACATACAGAAAGTCTATCTTAGACTTTAGAATATATTTAGAGTTGATATGGTCACTCGGTTCGGTACCGCGCTCGGAAGCGCGCCGCATAGCGCTATCTCCCTTCTTAAATAAAGGGAAAGTTCCTTTTACTTTGGTTACTACTTTTTCCCCCCATTTTATCTCAGTATACTGCAAGTTGTATAGTGCACCTTAGTACTTGAAATCAGATTATACTTCTCTATCTGCTACAGCTTGCGCTTCTACTATACTTAAAAAACACTTCCCTTATCGCTCATAAGCGCGCTTCCACATATGCGCGCGCCCCTCGCATCTCGCGCACCTTCGCATCGCTCATGCGCGCCTTCGTGTGCGTTATCTTCTCGCGCCTACCAGCGCCCGTCTAGTTGACAGAGTTCCCCTCCACCTTATTCGCGAGGAACTTCTCTCAGTAGCTGTCCTTTGGGTCGAGTCATATTCTTGTATCCAGGTCTTGCTGTAGAGCCCCCTTCTTTTAGTGTTTCCACCCACAGTCAAGATTCCTCACCTTCACCGGACCAATCACACGATCATATCCAAACATCCAAATCTGACTAGCTTCTGCCTTCCATGCTTTTCCCCTTTTGTACATCCTCTTTTAGTTAGCCCCTCTTTCTGGTCATCCAGTTATATCTATATCTGTCTGTACTCATTTATCCAGACCTTGTTCATTTCTGACTTCATTTTATTTTTATTATGTTCCATTATAGTATTGATAAGCTTTCCACATCCTTCATACATAGCCTTGCACTGCACTGACTGATGTTCTGTTATGTCTTCTGTAGTATATAAACCCTGTAAAGTCTCTATACATCCTCAGTTTGAATATCATCTTAGGGTCTGGACAGCTGCGTTTATTTCGCAGTTTGTTTTGTAGTTTATTTTGTTTGTAACAATATGTACAAACAACCGTGACAAGGTCGCCGCATCACGCACCATATGACATCACACCAAGGCTGAAATGCCTCCAGCTAATGAAATCCAGCGTTTCCACATGCTGCGGATGGCCGCTGCAATGATTGCTCAACTTGTTATGGGTCTTATAATTGCCTACATGACACGATTTCTTGAGAAACAGCCCTACCATACCTCACTCCTCACTGGACATGCATGGGTGCAAGAACTCACCAATGGACATCCTGACCGGATCAAGACTGAGCTCGGAATGAGGAAGCACATTTTCCATGCCCTTATACATGAGCTTCGGACTTGTGGGCTACGAGATTCAAAATATATTCTGCTTGATGAGCAAGTTTCCATATTTCTATATACATGTGTGACAGGGCTTTCAAGCCGTCATGTTGCAGAACGTTTTCAGTACTCACACATGACCACACAGAAGTATGTTCATATTGCAAGATATTCATTATCTCACATGTCATCAGATATTTCAAGAGAGTCCTGCTTGCTCTGTCTTCGGCTCCCTTCTACAACAAATTTGTATATCTTCCACGGGACGACGCACCTATTCCAGCAGAAATATCAGGGAATTCGAAACTCTTTCCATACTTCGAAGGGGCACTTGGGGCCATGGATGGTACACACATTGCATGTTGTCCATCCGTGGCAGAAAGACAGCTTTCATGAAACCGAAAGGGTTTTGTCAGCCAAAATTGTCTTGCATGCTGTTCATTTGATCTTCGGTTCTGGTATGTTCTCAGTGGTTGGGATGGATCAACCTCAGACTCGACTCTCTACAATAATGCCCGTCTCACTGACCTGTACATTCCATGAGGGAGATACTACCTTGCAGATGCTGGGTTTGGAATATGCAATTCACTTCTCATTCCGTATCGAAGTGTCCGGTACCACTTGGCTGAGTGGGGTCGAGCTGCAGTTCGGTGAGCAATATGTCACTTGACTCATCAATCTTCTC